CCCCTCCCCCGCCAAAAAAAACCCCAAAGTAAATCCTGTGAGATAAGGGATATGAAACGCTAAGAGATTATTCTTAAAACTAGTCAGGCATTTTCTGGCAGTAAGAGACAGTGATCAGTGTGGGAGAAAAAGGAAAATAAAGCTAAAAAAACAGTTCATTCTGATTTAAAAAGAAAACAAAATCCATAGCTATGAAAGACAACTGGGACAAATGGGAAATCTCAATTTTGGCCTGAATACTAGGTAATTTTATGGAATTGTTAGCACTTTTCTTTTAGTGTAATAATGATATTGTGGCTAAGAACAGGATATCTTTAATCTTAACAGATGCATGTTGAAATATTTAGAGATAAAATGACATGATGAAAAAGATGACATGATGTCTTCAACTTAGGAATGACTCATAATAGAAAGGGAGGAAGAGAAGGAAGGTTTCTAAAAACTAACAATCATTAAATCTAGGTGCAGGGTATAAGGGTGCTCATGGCGCTATTTTTCAACTTTTCTGTATGTATGAAAATTTAAAATTTCCACAATACAAAGCTGGGAACAAGGGCATTCTAGCCCTCTAACATTCTAGCTCAGGAGTGGGAGGATAATTGAGAACTACTCCGACTTAGGGGAACTTGGCAAGAGTTCTTAACATTGTTCATGTGCCACACATACACCCTTTGACCTGGCAATCCCACTTTAAGAAACATATCCTATTATAACCACCTTTGTGAAAAAGCACTGTCAGTGATGGTAGAGTAAAATAATCATAATGTATGTTGACAGGGAACTAGTTGATACATTGCGTGTTATAGCTCATCCTGTGCAAACCTTCAGTGAAACATTTCTAGAAGAAGTGATAAGGAATAAGCTATTACTACTGGTAAGTGAAAAAAGAAGTGTGATATTTTATAGTATGTTAGCATTTGTTTTAAAAATAAAAAGAAAATTGGCCGGGTACAGTGGCTCACACCTGTAATTCCAGCACTTTGGGAGGCCGAGGTGGGTGGATCACTTAAGGTCAGGAGTTTGAGATCAGCCCGGCCAACATGGTGAAACCCCATCTCTACTAAAAATACAAAAATTAGCTGGGCGTAGTGGCACGCACCTGTAATCTCAGCTAATCAGGAGGCTGAGGCAGGAGAATCATTTGAACCAGGGAGGCGGAGGTTGCAGTGAGCTGAGATTGCACCACTGGACTCCAGCCTGGGTGACAGAGCAAGATTTTATCTCAAAAAAAAAAAAAAAAAGAAAATGTATGCACATATTATATATATGCATTTGTGCATGTGTGGGCGTGTGCAAGCGCATGCGCGTGCGCACGCACACACACACACACACACACTCTCTCTCTCTCTCTCTCATGCACACACAATCCTGTACCATGTAGAAAATATCTGAAAAAGGCCGGGCGCGGTGGCTCACGCCTGTAATCCCAGCACTTTGGGAGGCCGAGGCAGGTGGATCACGAGGTCAAGCGATCAAGACCATCCTGGTCAAAATGGTGAAACCCCCTCTCTACTAAAAAACTACAAAAAAATTAGCTGGGCATGGTGGTGCGTGCCTGTAATCCCAGCTACTCAGGAGGCTGAGGCAGGAGAATTGCCTGAACCCAGGAGGCGGAGGTTGCGGTGAGCCGAGATTG